TTTGTGTTTGTGTGACAAATACAGTTGTGTTGTCTGTCTCAGGGCGACTGTGGCTTCAGCAAAAAGTGAAACAGGCCGTGGGACAGAGGGGTAATGTGACCTGCTTTAGTCCTGTTTTAGTTTAGTTCTGGTTTAGTCCTGGTTTGGTCCCTGTGTGTCAGGTGTCTTCTCAGGTGGTTTCCTGTCTCTTATAAACCTCCGTCTGTCTCTCTGTGTCATTGCTCAGACTCACCACAAACAGGTACGAACATCACACAGATCCTAGTTTAGTCCTGGTTTAGTCCTGGTTTAGTCCTGGTTTAGTCCTTGTTTAGACCTTGCTAAAACCCAAGTTGAGTCTTTGTTTGGTCCCGGTGTAGACCTGGTTGAGTTCTGATCTTTGTTTATTCTTGTTTTAGTCCTGGTTCACTCCTGTTTTAGTCCTGGTTCAGTCCTGGTTTAAGTCTTGGTTTAGATCTTGCTAAAACCCAAGTTGAGTCTTTGTTTAGTCCTGGTTTAGTTCCAATCTTGGTTTAGTCCTGGTTTAGTCCTGTTTAAATTTTGGTTTTGTCCTGGTTCTGTCTTGATTTAGTCATGCTTTAGTCTTGTTTTAGACCTGGCTTAGTCCTGGTTTAGTCCCGCTTTAGACCTTGCTTAAACCCAAGTTGGGTCTTTGTTTAGTCCTGGTTTATTTCTGATCTTGGTTGAGTTCTGGTTTAGACTCTTCTGGTTTAAAGAGAAGAGGATTTTGTTCTTTTTCTTTGCTGAATAATCTTGTTTTTAAACCTGCCTCTGTTTTAGTTTTTTTTAGAGTCCAGGTCTGAGACTCAGAACCACAAACTCACGTTAACTTACTTGAGTAAAATAATCTGCTTTTCTTTCTCTTTACTTTCTTATTTACTTTCTCTCTGAGTGAACCCTGCCCACAAACAACGAGGAATTCAGTTCAGTCCTGGTCTAGTCCCAGTCTCTGACTCTGCTCTCTGTCTCACAGCAGAATGGACCCTGCAGCTGTTCCTCCTCGTGCTCCTCAGGTCCTGCAGGTGCTCCCCTGTCTGAACGAGGCCGGACTGAAGCCGTGGGACTGTGGTCTGTGGGATGAGACCACGATGCCCTCGGCCCTCAGAGAAATCATCAGGAGTCCAGAGCGCCACCTACAGGCCATCCAGCACATCAACAAGATCCACCACAAGAAGGTCAGGTTCAGGTCAGAGACTGAACAGGACAAACTCACAATCTTCCTGATGATAGCAGCCGTAGTGGGAACTTCACTCATGATAATCATGTTACTTGAGACTACAGATTGGGTAGAACGCATAATCATCATCGCTGTTTTGTTGGTCCTGTACGTTGAGATATTCACATACAGAAAACAGCTCTGTAAGCGAATCCTGCGCCTGCTGAAGAAGGCGGTGGGCGGGGCTAACATTCTGCTGTGTGACGACAACATTCTGATTGGCTGTCGGACCAACGCGGAGCTCGTGTTTGTCTACGTGCCTCTGGACGCCTGCAGGGACGACCTCGGTGCAGGGTTCAACGCCGCGTGTTGAAACACTCCTGTGTCTACGCCTGGAGTCTTTATCAAGGAAAGATGCCGTTCAAGTCGCCCTCTGACGAGTCTGGTCACCTGCAGGGGGCGTGCTGCTTCTGTCAGTTTGTGCGGCATTACCAATGCTGCTGGTGCTGAAGCTGTGATGTGTTAAAAACACCTGGAAAGAACAAAGAGTCTGTCGGCTGAAAATAATGTAAAAAAACATTCACTGGACATATAATGGTGTATCAGATGAAGAAAAAGAGGTAGAGCGCTTCACTGGGATAAAAAAAAGAGTCAAAAATAGCAGTACAGGTGTTTTTTTATTTATGTAAAATGAAAAAAATTTGCTTGGAAGGACTGACATATTTTATAGAAATAGTTTCCTTTCATTTTGAAGTAATATTAAAGTATTCAAAAGAAAAAAGTTGACAAATGATGTAAAATCCTGCACCTTCTACTTGTTTGCACAATTTTCCCTCCGTTACTTTTCCCTCCGTTACCATGACATTTCTTAATAAAAAATCTCATGACTCAAAAAGTAAGAGGTTTTTCAACCTAATCTTGTACCATATGGTAGAAAACTATATGAAGCAAATATTCAAACCAGTTTGTTAAGGATATGTAAGTGAGAACCAAGAGTTATCACTGTTTGGATTTATTGCCCAAAAGTGCTGCATATTTCATTCCCTCCGTTACCGACATGAGTTTTTAAATTTTTTGTCAACAACTTGAAAGAATCTCACAGGTTTAACTTGACCCTGTTGGAGTGTAACTCTTTCCTACATTCTGATACTTTACTTATTTCAATAGTCTCTCTAGTTTCTGAATAAGAGCTGTTTGAATGTAAAAAATCTGCCTGTTTCCCTCCGTTACTTCTTGACCGGACCCCATAGTGCACCTTTAAATGTTCTTTGCGTCCCCTGCTGGCCAACCATGAAAAAAAATATTTTCATAGATGATGATAGATGATGGGCGAATGGAGCCTNGAACATCACACAGTCCTGGTTTAGTCCTGTTAGTCCTGGTTGAGTCCTGTTTAGATATTTTAAACCAAGTGAGTCTTTGTTCAGTGCTGTTTAGTCCGTTTAAATTTGGTTTTTCCTGGTTCTGTCTTGATTTAGTCATCTTTAGTCTTGTTTTAGACCTGGTTTAGTCCTAGTTCAGTCCTGGTTTAGTCCTGGTTCAAGTCCTGTTCTGGTTAAGTTTGGTTTAGACCTTGCTAAAACCCAAGTTGAGTCTTTGTTTGGTCCTGGTTTAGTTCCAATCTTGGTTTAGTCCTGGTTTAGTCCTGTTTAAATTTTGGTTTTGTCCTGGTTCTGTCTTGATTTAGTCATGCTTTAGTCTTGTTTTAGACCTGGTTTAGTCCTAGTTCAGTCCTGGTTTAGTCCTTGTTCAGTCCTGGTTTAGTCCTTGCTTAAAACCAAGTTGAGTCTTTGTTTAGTCTGTATTTCGTCCTGGTTTAGTTCTGATCTTGGTTGAGTTCTGGTTTAGACTCTTCTGGTTTAAAGAGAAGAGGATTTTGTTCTTTTTCTTTGCTGAAGAATTTTGTATTTAAACCTGCGTCTGTTTTAAACTGGAGTTTTTTTTAGAGTCCAGGTCTGAGACTCAGAACCACAAACTCACGTTAACTTACTTGAGTAAAATAATCTGCTTTTCTTTCTCTTTACTTTCTTATTTACTTTCTCTCTGAGTGAACCCTGCCCACAAACAACGAGGAATTCAGTTCAGTCCTGGTCTAGTCCCAGTCTCTGACTCTGCTCTCTGTCTCACAGCAGAATGGACCCTGCAGCTGTTCCTCCTCGTGCTCCTCAGGTCCTGCAGGTGCTCCCCTGTCTGAACGAGGCCGGACTGAAGCCGTGGGACTGTGGTCTGTGGGATGAGACCACGATGCCCTCAACCCTCACAGGAATCATCAGTCCAGAGCGCTACCTACAGGCCATCCAGCACATCAACAAGATCCACCGCAAGAAGGTCTGGTTCAGGTCAGAGTGTGCACTGGGCATGCTCACAATCTCCATGGTGATAGCGGCCGTAATGGGAACTGTAGAAATGATAATAAATTTTAAGGAGGCTACAGATTTTCTAGGACGCATTTTGATCATTGTTGGTTTGCTGGGCCTGTACGTACAGATATTCATGTACAGAAAACAGCTCTGTTACCGAATCCTGCGCCTGCTGAAGAAGGCGGTGGGCGGGGCTAACACTCTGCTGTGTGACGACAACATTCTGATTGGCTGTCGGACCAACGCGGAGCTCGTGTTTGTCTACGTGCCTCTGGACGCCTGCAGGGACGACCTCGGTGCAGGGTTCAACGCCGCGGTGCTGAAACACTCCTGTGTCTACGCCTGGTGTCTTTCTGAAGGGCCGTTAAGATATCCCTCTTACGAGTCTGGTCACCTGCAGGGGGCGTGCTGCTTCTGTAAGTTTGTGCGGCTTCACTATTGCTGCTGGTGCTGCTGCTGCTGGTGCTGAAGCTGTGATGTGTTAAAAAACACCTGGAAAGAACGAAGAGTCGGCTGAAAATAATGTAAAGAAACATTCACTGGACATATAATGGTGTATTTGTGTCCTGATAAAGCAGGACTCTTGTCTCTGTCTGGACATTTGTCACTGAGTTATGAAAACACAGTCCTGGTCCAGTCCTGGTCCAGTCCTGGTCCAGTTCTGGATTAATCTTGAACTAGTCCAGGTCTAATCTTGTTCATTTTACAGTTCAGTTTGGATATTCATTATTTTGCCTTTTTATTTTTATTTTGTGCTTATGTTGTGTTCTTTTTTATTTGTTCCTTGTTTTGTGGGGGGAAGAAATAAAATTAATTAAAAATGCATTTCAAAATAAAACCTGAAAAATGACATGTTTGTGTTTGTGTGACAAATACATTTGTGTTGTCTGTCTCAGGGCGACTGTGGCTTCAGAAAAAAGTGAAACAGGCCGTGGGACAGAGGGGTAATGTGACCTGGTTTAGTCCTGGTTTAGTCCTGGTTTAGTTCTGGTTTAGTCCTGGTTTAGACCTGTTTAAATTTTAGTTTTGTCCTGGTTCTGTCTTTGTTTAGTCCTGGTTTAGTTCCAGTTTTGGTTTAGTCTTGGTTTAATTCTGGTTTAGACCTGCTTTAGACTTTGCTCAAACCTAAGTTAAGTCTTTGTTTAGACCTGGTTAAGTTCCAATCTTGGTTTAGTCCTGGTTTAGACCTTGTTTAGTCCTGGTTTAGACCTTGCTTAAACCCAAGTTGAGTGTTTGTTTAGTCCTAGTTTAGACCTGGTTTTGTCTTTATTTAATCCTGGTTTAGTTCCAATCTTGGTTTAGTCCTGGTTAAGACCTGGTTTAGTCTTTATTTAGTCCTGGTTTAGACCTTACTTAAACCCAAGTAGCGTCTTTGTTTGGTTTACAGAGGATTTTGTTCTTTTTCGGTGCTTTCTTTGGTGAATAATCTTGTATTTAAATCAAATGAACCTGTGTCTGTTTTAAACTGGGCCAAACCTCTCAGTTCTTCTTTTAGAGTCCAGGTCTGAGGCTCAGACTCTGGTGACCACAACCACAAACTCACTTTAACTCACCTCTGAACATTTGTGTTTCTTGCAGCTCCTTCAGATCTGGTTTAGTTTGTCTCATTTTCGAGTTGATCCTTTGAAAACACCAGGTTTGTGAATAATTTTTGTTCTTTTCTGTTGTATGAGTCTGATCACATTCACGTGTTGTTCTTAAATACAGCGTCAGGCTCTGTAGGAGAAGAGAGCAGCAGAATAGAGAAGAAGAAGGTTAATGTGGTTTTCTTGAGAATCGGATCATGCGGTTGTGCCCCACTTTCACTTTCCTTCACGTGAACTTTTGAGCTTTACAGTGTCACATTAAACAGGAAGTTTTATTTCTCTGAGCTAAAGCCTGACACACGAAATAATAGAGAGAAAAATCTGATTCTTTGATATTTAACTCTTTATTGCACATTTCAACAAATGTAAAAAAAAAAAAAAAAAAAAAAAAAAAAAGATAGCTTTGACCATTAATAAAAAATGTATCATATTTGATACGTTGGGCCTTCACGGCCATTTTATAGAACCATGTTTATTTTAGGACCAAACTAAATTCTCTTTCATGCATTTAGAACTCAGAGAAACTTTTCTGGACATTTCCTTATGTTTGTTTTTAAATGTCTGAACAGGATGATTTTTATTTTGTCACAGTTTCCTCGTCAAACACAGATGTACATCACATTTCCCACCGTACACGTGTGTAAAATTATTATAAATATATGTCAAAAATAAATGAGTGAATCCTCCAAATGCGCTGAATCAGTAAAATATAGAATATTAGTGATTTTGTGAGTGAAAATTGAAGAGACAGGACAGTTACACCAAATAAACCACTGCACCTTTCATTTATATAGAGTCATGTGAAGATAAAAATTTCACCATTATGCAACAATTATAATAATAATTGAAAACATATTTTTAAGGTGACATCTTAGTTATGAAATATAAAAAATTGTGTGTTGTTAAATTTGCATGAATTATGTAGATTGCATCATAAAATACATTATAGTGATGATGAGGAACAGAATCACAAAGACCTGCTGTATCAAATTTGATACAATTTTAACATGATTTTTCTACAAAATGATGTAAAAATATGAAGATTCATAGATTAATCTGAGAACGTAAATGTTCATATTGGAGAATCAATAACAAAATGTATGCAATTTTTACACTAACCTTTTCAAAATTGACAAAGTTGTTTCTCCAAAAACAGAGAAAGTCGCCCCCACCAATGCAACCATTTTGAAAATGTCTCCTCTGTTATTTACTGAAAACCATGGACAGACCACTAGGGGGCAGCAGACGAGTATTTAATTGTAAACAACAGGTTTATCAGGAGAAATATTGATTATGTGGGTGGGGCAGAACTTGTATCGTGGATACAAGAGGTCGAAATGAGTTTCCTCCTCAGGGTGTCTGGGCGCTCCCTTAGAGATAGAGTGAGGAGCTCAGTCACACAGGAGGAGCTCGGAGTAGAGCCGCTGCTCCTCCACGTCGAGAGGAGCAGCTGAGGGGAGGACATCTGTTCTGATGCCTCCTGGGCGTCTCCCTCGGGAGGTGTTCATGTCCCACTGGGAGGAGGCCCCGGGGAAGACCCAGGACACACCGAAGGAGCTGGAGGAAGTGTCTGGGGTGGAGGAAGTCTGAGAGTCCCTGCTTAGACTGTTGCCCCCACGACCCGACCCCGGATAAGAGGAAGAAAATGGATGGATGGAGCAGAGGTGTCAGAATGTTGTGTATCAAATATGATACAAATGACATTAGAGCTAAAAGTATTTAGATCAACATGTTTCCTTTTATTAAAACACTTTATTGTTTTATTATATTACAAAACATTAACAGGTTTTATAAGTTTCACTTCAGGATTGTGAAGTTGTAGTATATTGTTTAGCATCATGTTTTTGGATAGATATAAAGGACTGTTGTGTGGGAGTGGGGCTGGTCTAGTCCTGGTTCAGTCCTGGTTCAGCCCTGGTCTAGTCCCAGTCTCTGACTCTGCTCTCTGTCTCACAGCAGAATGGACCCTGCAGCTGTTCCTCCTCGTGCTCCTCAGGTCCTGCAGGTGCTCCCCTGTCTGAACGAGGCCGGACTGAAGCCGTGGGACTGTGGTCTGTGGGATGAGACCACGATGCCCTCGACCCTCACAGGAATCATCAGTCCAGAGCGCCACCTACAGGCCATCCAGCACATCAACAAGATCCACCACAAGAAGTACTGGTTCGGGATAGAGAGTGAACAGGCCGTACTCACAGTCTTCATGGTGATGGGGACCATAGTGGGAACTGTAATGGGAATAATCATGTTAATTGAGACTAAAGATTTGGTAGAACGCATAGGCATCATCGTTGCTTTCCTGGTCCTGTACGGAGCGACATTCAAGTACAGAAAACAGGTCTTTGACCGAATCATGTACCTGCTGAAGAAGGCGGTGGGCGGGGCTAACACTCTGCTGTGTGACGACAACATTCTGATTGGCTGTCGGACCAACGCGGAGCTCGTGTTTGTCTACGTGCCTCTGGACGCCTGCAGGGAACGACCTCGGTGCAGGGTTCAACACCGCGGTGCTGAAACACTCCTGTGTCTACGCCTGGAGTCTTTATCAAGGAAAGATGCCGTTCAAGTCGCCCTCTGACGAGTCTGGTCACCTGCAGGGGGCGTGCTGCTTCTGTCAGTTTGTGCGGCATTACCAATGCTGCTGGTGCTGAAGCTGTGATGTGTTAAAAACACCTGGAAAGAACGAAGAAAAAACATTCACTGGACATATAATGGTGTATTTGTGTCCTGATAAAGCAGGACTCTGTCTGTGTCTGGACATTTGTCTCTGAATTATGAAAACACAGTCCTGGTCCAGTCCTGGTTTAGTCCTGAATAGTCCTGGTCTAATCTTGAACATTTTGTGTTCTGTTTTATTTGTTCCTTGTTTTTGTGTGAAAGTGAAACAGGCCGTGGGACAGAGGGGTAACATGACCTGGTTTAGTCCTGCTTTAGTCCTGCTTTAGTCCTGCTTTAGTCCTGGTTTAGTGCCTGTCTGTATAAGCACGGTGGTGTTGTAGCCCATTTAGTTCTGTTATAAACCTCTTTTAGTCCTGGTTTAGTCTTGGTTTAGTTCTGGTTTAGTCCTGGTTTGGTCCCTGTGTGTCAGGTGTCTTCTCAGGTGGTTTCCTGTCTCTTATAAACCTCCGTCTGTCTCTCTGTGTCATTGCTCAGACTCACCACAAACAGGTACGAACATCACACAGGTCCTGGTTTGGTCCTGGTTTAGTCCTGGTTGAGTCCTGGTTTAGATCTTGTTTAAACCCAAGTTGAGTCTTTGTTCAGTGCTTGTTTAGGCCTGTTTAAATTTTGGTTTAGTCCTGGTTTAGATATAGTTTAAGTCTTGGTTTAGACCTTCCTTAAACCCAAGTTGAGTCTTTAATTAGTCCTGGTTTAGTTCCAATCTTGGTTTAGTCCTGGTTTAGTCCTGTTTAAATTTTGGTTTTGTCCTGGTTCTGTCTTGATTTAGTCATGCTTTAGTCTTGTTTTAGACCTGGTTTAGTCCTGGTTTAGTCCTTGCTTAAACCCAAGTTGAGTGTTTGTTTAGTCTGTATTTAGTCCTGGTTTAGTTCTGATCTTGGTTGAGTTCTGGTTTAGTCTCTTCCGGTTTAAAGAGAAGAGGATTTTGTTCTTTTTCTTTGCTGAATAATCTTATATTTAAACCTGTGTCTGTTTTAAACTGGAGTTTTTTTTTAGAGTCCAGGTCTGAGACTCAGAGCCACAAACTCACGTTAACTTACTTGAGTAAAATAATCTGCTTTTCTTTCTCTTTACTTTCTTATTTACTTTCTCTCTGAGTGAACCCTGCCCGCAAAGAAAGAGGAACTTACCTCTGTTTGACCTTGTACGTGAACTGAGCTGTGTGAAAGTCGACTAAACCACAGAACCTTAGAACATTTGATTGGATGAACAGTGAGTTTCTAGAAGAATCATCAGGCGCTTGGTTCATCAGTGTCATGACTTTTTTTGGAATAGACGAATTTGTCTGGATTTGTCTGTAGTTGAGCATAAAATAAGTTCAGTACAGACTGAACCAGGACTGAACCAGGACTGAACCAGGACTAGAGTCGCGTCTGTGAATTCTTATTCGTACTGAAGAAAGCGTAATCATAAATTTTTGATTTTATTTTTTTTTTTACTTTTTATTTTATTTTTCAAAGGAACATAACAACTTTCCCTGAGACAAGAGTATAAAATATTACTTATACATGCATTGTAAGTTAATCATAATAGCCCAAATGATAAATAAATAAATAAATAAAATAAATAGCAATAATATTTAGGATTAAGAAAAAATATATATATTTTAAAAAAAAATGTACATAAAAAAAAAAAAATTACATTAAAAAAAAAAAAAAAATATATATATATATATATATATATATATATATATATATATATATATATATATACATATATACCTATACATACATACATACACATATATATATATATATATATACATACACATACCCACATATATACATACATACATACACATAACAATAATAGTAACCATAATAATAATAATAATAATTAAACAAAACAAAAACAAACAAAAAAAAAAACAAAAAAAAAGTGTCTATAAAATCACACTCCCAAGTATGTTTGCACTAGGTGCCATCTTTGAATAAACAAATCCATTTTCAATTGTAAAGATGCAGTCAATTTTTCCATCAAATACACTTGTTTAACCCTGTTTCTCCATTCTGTTACAGTTGGTGCTAAAACCTGTTTCCAATTGGCTGTAATAGTTTTCTTTGCAACTAGCAATAAAATATGCAAAATATACTTTTGGTCTGCATTAAAATTTTCTGGTATTATATCTAATAAGTAAAATGAAAACATTTGATGGGATTTCTCTCTTCATAATTATCTCGATTTCGTCCCTGATCCCCCTCCAATACTCTAAGATAACAGGACAGTCCCAAAAGACGTGTGTGTGATCGCCAATTTTTCCACATTTTCTCCAACATAATGCTGCTGAATGGTCTTTAACAAATCTAGAAATTACAAATGGGGTATGGAAAAATCGTATTATAATTTTCCAATTGAATTCTTTCCACATTTGACTGTTAAGTCCTTTGTGACTGCCCTTACATATCTTGTCCCACTGTACCTCTTCTATGATAGTGTTTAATTCCAATTCCCAATTTTCTTTAACATTATATGTGTTTTGATAGTTAATGGATGAAAGAATTTTGTACAAGTGTGAAACATGTTTCCTAGATGGAAAGTTTTTACTTGCTATAGTATTCTTTATGATTCATAATGTAATGTCTAATTTGAAGATATCTATATAAATCTCTTGCAGGGAGATTAAACTGTTTCTGAAGTTGCGCAAATGATTTGAAATCCGTTCCATCAAACAATTGGTTGAGAATGTTAAGACCTTTAGCTGCCCAGCTCCTAAAGCCCTGGTCCCACACGGAAGGTGGGAAATCTACATTGCCCATTATGGGCATAGCCCTAGAGAAGGAACCAGTATCTTTATGCGTCTTTTTTACTTCATCCCATATTTTTAGGGTATGCTTAGTCCACTCACTCCCAACTTTCATCTTGTTGACAGATTGTATATGTAAAAATGGAAGAGTGGACATCTGTACACCCTTAGCCTCCCCCTGTTCTATTTTGATCCATTTTACCTCCTCGTCCCCTGCAACCCAGGTCACAATTGCTGTTAATTGAGCAGCCCAATAGTAGAGTTTTAAGTTAGGTAAACCTAAACCACCTTTATTTTTGGGTAAATTAAGTGTTTTCAGTTTAATTCTTGGTCTTTATAAATTTTGATTTTGTGATTTTAATTCTTGATGTTGAAACATTTCAAATCTTATTCTGATGGATGAAATACACAGAACACATTTTATGTTCAACTGGACTCATTCCAGAGTTTATGAATATTTATTTTATGCTCAACAACAGACAAATATGCACACGAATATTTCTGAAAGCTTCTTCCTCCACACACAAGAACCATCTGCACTCTGAGGAGCTCGGAGACACGGAGAGTTTCAGATTCATGCAGCTAAAACCTGAAACAGTCTGAACATGTGAGACTCGACTTTGACGCTGTTTAAATCCAGACTCAAAACGGTTCTGTTTCACTGTGCAGACGACTGAAAGGTTTTCATTCTGAACTCTTCACTCTAACTTATGTAATAAAGTAATGTCTCTCTCTTTTTAATTTTATGGTGCTTATTTATGTTTTGATTTGTTTTTAATGTGATTTTAATGTATTTCTTATTCTGTAAGGCACATCACAAGGTGGAGCAGCATTTTGAGCTTGACTAATAATTGAACTAATTCATGTTAAACTTTTCAGAAATTATATGTCACGGGTCATACACACAGACCGTATATATGAATGGACAGATGTCGTCGCCCCCTAGCGTTTTGGCAGTGAATTACTTCGCGGTGCATAGACCTTGATGCAGATCCATAAATCAAAAACGACGGCGACAAGGCGACGGCAGCAGTGCGCGTTGAGTCGACACAGAACTATACTTAATCCTGCACTACGCGATAAAAGCACAGAACAGACTCATCATTAGTACAATGTGACTCTGTCACAGAAAGAACACTCATATTCCACTGGTCCGTGTCCTTTTTAAGTCCAAGAGAAGCTGAACCTCGTACCAGGAGCGAGCTGTTTTATGAGCTCTTTGTTTATGTAAGTTGCCATGCAGTTTTAAGTTTAGTTTCTGTAAAATGTAAACACATATGCACAAAGCTGCATTAAACACATTATTTCTCAATATATACTGAAAGAAAGAAAAGGAAATGTAAACAGAGCAGGTGGTACGAGGACCAATCACAGCTCTTATCGTCTGCGTCACTTCCCCTGCTGTCTGCGTCGTTTTGACGCGTAGTTAGAAAATTTCGGAGGTGCACGTCAGTCGACGCAGAGGCTCTGTGTAGGGGGTACGCATCGATGCTGACTCTCTGTGTCGTGACGCAGACGATTTGACGCTGGACCGAAAATTGGCCTTAACTCAAACATGTGTGTAATATAAAGGACTGGTCTAGTCCTGGTTCAGTCCTGGTCTAGTCCTGGTTCAGTCCTGGTTCAGTCCTGGTTCAGTCCTGGTTCAGTCCTGGTCTAGTCCCAGTCTCTGACTCTGCTCTCTGTCTCACAGCAGAATGGACCCTGCAGCTGTTCCTCCTCATGCTGCTCAGGTCCTGCAGGTGCTCCCCTGTCTGAACGAGGCCGGACTGATGCCGTGGGACTGTGGTCTGTGGGATGAGACCACGATGCCCTCGACCCTCACAGGAATCATCAGGAGTCCAGAGCGCCACCTACAGGCCATCCAGCACATCAACAAGATCCACCACAAGAAGGTCTGGTTCAGGATACAGTGTGCACAGGTCATGCTCACAATCTCCATGGTGATATTGGCCATCGTGGGAACTGTAATAATTGTGATGTTTATGAAGACTGGAGATATAGTGGAATGGAAAGCCGCCTTCCCTGCTTTGCTGGGCCTGTACGTTGAGATATTTACATACAGAAAACAGCTCTGTTACCGAATCCTGCGCCTGCTGAAGAAGGCGGTGGGCGGGGCTAACACTCTGCTGTGTGACGACAACATTCTGATTGGCTGTGAGACCAACGCGGAGCTCGTGTTTGTCAACGTGCCTCTGGACTCCTGCAGGAACAACCTCGGTGCAGGGTTCAACGCCGCGTTGTTGAAACACTCCTGTGTCTACGCCTGGAGTCTTTATCAAGAAGAGTTGCCGTTCAAGTCGTCCTTTGACGCGTTTAGTCACCTGC